CTTAGCCATTTAACAACTCTTGTTCGTGATGGTGGCATTAAATGGTTTGCATCGCACTCGCCGTAGGAGCTTTGTGCCTCCCACATCTTTTCTGTTCTTCTTCCATTTAATTTCATCCAATTTCTTTTTGAACATTCTCTGGAGGCCCCTGCTGAAAACGGAAAAATCGCAGGTCATCATTTCCCCCACCTTCCTGCAACACGGCTCTGCACGCGCTGGTCCTCTCATGGGCCCCGGCGGGTCTGCTCGGAGTCGGCGTCGACTGAGATGCGTACGGCATCAAGTTTCACGTGTGCGGTTCCAGGTGCGTTGGTTCCAGGCGCGCTGCACACAAGGTGACCGTGCTCCGGCTTAGGTCTACATCGGCAAGATGTTGCAATGTCGGAGCGGTTGTTTGTTGCTTCTCCTGTTGAGTTTCAGCTTAATTATGTATAATAATTCTAAATGTTCTGTAGGGACTCGGAACGCACAATGTTGCCCTCTACAGGACTCGTGTGAAGGACGACAAGTGCGCACAGTCGATTAACACGCACTCGTCATTCATACATTGTTCCTGAATTCCAGAAGAATGTCTTGATGACTGGTTTCAAGATGGAAATGAATGATTTCAAGGTCGCGGCTACCGCTCCCGACGGAGTGAACCGATCGTGCCTGGTCACCCAATACCGGCCGGTTGGTTCATGAAGTGTCGCTTTGCGTGATCCCCAATTGTCACATTCGATTTGCAATCGATCTAGAGGAAATCCCATCAGGTCTGTTTTAATCTGATCGGTGAAAAATTGGTCCTTGATTGGACGTAAGTTTAGAGGAAATCGAAAGACCATGTTGTCTAGAAAAAGGATGTAAAATATAAAACTTAGTAACTTTTTGCATCAAGTTGACCTTGAAAGACATATTGAATTCGTTTCAGAAAGAATGGTCGCTAAGCCTTCCGCTGCATTCTTCCCAAACATGATTCACTCCGCAAACTTATCTCGTAACAGAAAGCTGCAAAATGGGGTTCGTGACGCCATCACGTATCTTAATATGCTCGTAGTTCATTCTCACTAAACCACATGGCTCCAAAACTGGCTGAATCAAGTGTTGGTCATATAAATACCTCATAGAAAAGTTCTTGTTCAATTCGAAGCAGATGCCGCGTTGAGATGCACCCATTCACGATCGATTTGTCGTGGAATAGCACTTTTAAGAGCTTGGTAACTTAGTTGGCACTCCGGAATCGGTACACACCTATCCAGCACAATGGGCAATGCAGACAACGACTGTGCATTCGAAGAGGGGCTCCGTCTTGCCAAAAGAGACAAAATTTACAACTTATGGCTATCACCAAAAGTGCCTGTTTCATGTAGCGTCACAGCCTTTCCTTCAGCGCCCTCCGGGGCGTGCCATGCGTTTCATGGCCTCACCAAAGCTGCGAGTGGGGTACGTTTGCCAATGGCCGATCTTGGTGCGGCCTGCGATGGAAAGCGGCGCCACAGCTGATGGTCCCTCATTTAACGGAGCGACCCGGCCACTTGGGGAGGGGTCCAGGGCGTGCGGCGGCTGCTTCGGCCGTTCGATGTTGTCGTCAGCCAGAGTTTCAGCCGTAACAGCGGCCCGATGGAACGGAAAGTTGTCGTGGGGAAGAATGAAACGGCCGCGTGTCTTCCATGGACGGGCTCGACGATGGCCGAAAAGTGATATGTACTCATGCTTGTTTCCTCATCTTGTTTACGATCATGAATGTTACGATGGGCTTTTCCGTCAGTCATACCGAGACTCTAAACTATCTGTTCTGCCGACACACCATGATCTTCCACAGTTACAATCTCCTCTTGGGTCACGTGGGCGTGGCTCCACTGGTCTTCCGGAGCGTAGCCAGCCCCACACGCTCGCCCTGCTCTCATCAAACCCTCGCGCCGACCCACCCGCGCACCTTCAACTCGAAAGAGGTGTTGTTGCCAAAAGTCATCAGTTTTTTAACACGCACTCGGGTGTGGGGGTCAAACTGACCCCTAAGGTTTTTCTAGAATGGTTTCGGAACGGCGAGGCGTAGCCGGGCCAAACTTTGCATGGCTGTAGACAATTAAATAGTGGATCGTTTCACATAATAAATTAGATGTGCCTTGAGTTGACCTAAGGTCAGGTATGAAGGTCAGACCAAGATCAAAACCAACCTGATTTATTACTCTAGGGCTTGCTGTATGGGACAGATTCTGGTGCTCATTTCGAATCTATTGACAACAGGAACCGCATTATACATCTTCCATTGATTTCTTTGAGGTCAGAGCAGGTCATTGACCTAAGATGACCCGGGTCGACATTTTGTTTTAGGAACCTACTGCCTAGCATATTCTTTGTCGCTTATTCAAATGCAAAACTCAGAGTAGTCTTGTATAGTTTTGGTCACCATGATCTTCAAAAGGTCAAACAAGGTCACTGACCTCAAATGGGACTGTAACCTATTGCTAAGAAGCAGTTGCCTAGGTTCTGGGGCACTTTGGAGACCAATCTGGAATTTGACCTTGTTTGACCTTATTTGACCTGAAAATGATAACCTAGGAAACTCAAACTCCGACCTCATTAAGTTCACGTACAGGTTAAGATACCCTGTAAATTTTGGGTCTCTAGCTTTCTTAGTTCCCGAGATATCAGGGGGTCAAATTGACCCCCACCCGAGCGAATGGTATCTAGTCGGCCACCCGGGCGCGTGTTAAGAATAGCACATGCCATGCCTGTAACCATAGCCCATGTCTACATCTGATGGGAGAATGCTGCAAATCAGCGCCAAAATGAAAACAAAAATGCTTGACGGTGTGTGAAATAGCGCCCCGAAATGACGTATCACCCAAACCAAGTAAGATATTGTACTCAGATCTACCTTGCTAAAGAGAAAAGGAAAAAATGGAAGGACATGCATTCTGAGTTATTTCCATTACATTGTGTCGTATCTGCTAACAAATGTGCCACGTACGTGCGAAAAAGAACTCCCAATTGGTAAATAGCAGCTTAGCAGATGATAATCTCCCAATTGGTAAATAGCAGCTTAGCTGATGATAATCTCCCAATTGGTGAATAGCAGCTTAGCTGATGATAAACCACAGTCTTATGATAAGACAGTAGCATAAGGCTTATTCTTCGGGACAAAATCAGGAGAATAAAGATAAAGTCAGGTTGATATTTCGGCAGCACGCTTTTCTCGAAAAATTGCAGAAGCGAATTCAAAATTCCCTGCCGATGATCCTTCTTGATTTCTTAGGGTTTTGTTTGAAGGACCAAGCCACAGTTTTTACAGGACACCAACATTGAGGGTATTAAACAAAGGGCGATTGCCGGCCATTACCAAGATACAGTGTCTATCTAAAAGAATTAGAATGCCCAGACATACATTTACATGCAAACGAATTCAAGCAAATAAGCATCACGCATCACGCTTCATTCGAACGTGCAAGCGAGCTGAAGTAAACGGGCATCACACATCGCGCACCAATTATGTATGTAAACTATTTCAATTGAACAGACGTCGCACATCACGCGACAGGCATCACTTACACATGTAAACGACTTCAAGCTGGCACATACGGCACATACAGGCACATGTCACGTTGGCATAATTGGCCGTGATGAGCCCTGCATGTTAAAATTCTTAGATAAGATTCCTAGATAGACACTGCATCTTGGCAATGGCCGGCAACTGGTCTTTGTTTAATCCCCTGGATGTTGGTGTCATGTAAAAACTGTGGCTTACTTTTTCAAAAGAAAACCTGAAAAATCGAGCAGGATCATGGGCAGACAATTTTGAATTCCCTTCTGTTCTTGTTTCGAGAAAGGCATGTTGCTGAAATATCAAGCTAACATTATATCTGTTCTCCTGGTTTTTACAAGGAATGAGGCTAATACTGCTGTCTTAGCTATGTGACTAATGCTCCTCGCTAATGTACTGAACAACTAGCAGTCTTATGATCTCAAACTCTGAGACTAAGAATAAGACTAAGGATAACGGAGACGATGTTTCAGCCCTGGGTCTTGCACGCTTCTAAGTTTTGACAAAATATCTGACAAATGTTAATTTGACGTGCTCAAAAAGCATACGCCTAAGTGTACACCTTACATAAAACCGCATCACACGTGAATTGCATGTAAGGGATTCGTCAACATGTCAGAGGGCATGTATACAGAGAAGGCGCAGCCAGTCGCATTATATTACGAACGAATCCCCGAACTTCCACTCTCAAACTCCAGGCGCTTTCAAAGCGGGTAATCCATGATACAATGAGTAACCAAATGGACGTCCAAACAATAAAAACATAGTTCCTAGCTCGTCACGCACTGGCAAACGACAAGCTTTTCAAAAACCTAAGACGTATCACATCGTTAATCTGCTATTCCCGTTTAGTGATGAGTCTCAAACCAGCATCCATATCGTCTAACATTCAGCATCCTCCAATCAGCATCCTCCCTATCCTTGAGGAGATCGGGTGGTAGTTGTGATGGCCTGACAAGAATATGGCTCATTGGATGGGCGTATAATGTATTTCACACTCGTCCAGGTGCTCATTTCATGGCATACTTCATACCTTGTCGCACATCGAATTTTGTCTTGGATTCGGAGCCTCACCGCCCGCGCCATCCTGTCGATGCGTTGTAGCGGTGCAGACGGGGTTTGAGGCGATTCCGACGCAAGCCAATCAGATGAGCTGCACCGCATCAGCAATGGCTATCCGGCAGCTGCCATGCCCAGCCCGTCCTGCGAGGAAGCCGCGATCAGCAGGCTCGGCAAAACCCGATCGCGGGGCAAAGGACCGAGGACGGCAGCTGTGGAGAGGACTGAGCCTACCAATGCGTTCACTCCGCGATCGCATAGCGTCGAGCCGTCGGGCGACAGCGAGAGCTGAGCCGATAGCCTGCGCCTCAAGGGGCTGATCCGGTGCGGCCCACGTTATCAGGGCAATTTCATCTCCTGCAATCGTCGCCTCATGTCCATACACTCAATACGCGCAGAACGGGCCGCGGAAATGACCTCATCTCACGCGCGCCTTAAAGCGCAGAGAGCCTCCGGCGATGTTCCGTCTCGGCGTGCCCCGCCAGCGCCAGAAGGTCAGCGGTGGGAAGCGCCGCGGCGTGGTGGTGTCCAGCTCTCCAATTTGAATGTTTGATGGGGCAGCTTTCCGAAAGCGCCGAGCCCGGGAGACCCCAGAGGCACCTTTCATCTTGCCGCGGTCGGCCCAGCTGGACGCCATGCCATAGCCATCACGCCCGCCGAGGACGCCCGGCACCTGGCCCCGTCCTCCGATGCAGCCGGGGATGTCGCACGTGTCCCGCTCAGACGGGGGGCCGTGCTGAGGGGACCGTCACCCTCGAGCCGAGTCCGATCACTCGCAGCGGCCGCGCGGACACTGCAGCTGACAGCACTTATTACCATCCGGCTGCGATCCATTTGAACGCTCCTTTGGACACATCATCATCGAAGGCTGCTTGTGGGTATGACATTGATGCCTTGGAAACAACCGTGACGTGTTCTTGCGTTGCGTGTTATGCAAGGACCTGTTGCCACGAAGCGTGTGCACGTGGTGTCAAGTGAGCCTAATCGCTCCTCCATGCTTGACATTACGCGCAATTTTAAAAGAAAGAAATATCGCCAGATGAATGCCCCAGAAATGCCGCCAGGCAGCGCAGGCCTGTGCAGCGCGGCACGTGGGGCGTAGGTACATCTCAACAACGCGATGGCTGAACTCAGTTGGAGGTCGATGTTTTCTAGCACATGCCAATGTTAACATTCCATGAGAAGTGAGAGCCATGACATCCTGCACGCTCCCCATCGCTGGCCTCTCCGCCTGTGGCAAAGAGACAGGCGCCGTTCTAACGAGCGACCGCCACCCCATGCCCGGCTCAGAATCGATACAAAGACGGCACTATTCACTGGGCGAACCACCATGATATTGGACCGTAAATTGACGGACCGTGCCGCGGCCCGCGGCGTGGTTTGCGCTGGATCGGCTGCCACTCAAGTCGGGCGGCGGATAGCAACACTTCGCCATCTGGTGCCCAGCGGGGCTCGCTGCCGCTTTGCGTGGGTGAGTGTGGGCTTGACGTGGCTGTAACGAGGTGGCTTCGTGTATCTCTGAGCGCATGCCGCCGCTCTGAACATGAGAGATGTTGGTAAGGCAGCGTTCTCGCGCGCATGTCGACACATGGTTGTGACGCGGCTGTTCGTAAACATTGATGCTGATATGCACCAATGCTTGCATAGATGTCCGTGTCGTAAATGATCAGACGCGCCTGTGTGCGCATGCACAAATGTGGATATCGGAGACGATAGTGTGTGTTAAATGGACATATCAGAGGTATTCTAGTCACAGCTGTGTAGCTGGATGCCATTTTCGTATTACATATATTTGCAACGTGAGTCCCATTGGCACGTGTGACTATGTTGTTATACCGAGTCCCTGACTGTCCCTTAATATATGTAGGAACTCTTGTTATAATGTGGTACGTAAAGAGGAAATTGTGTATGTGTTGCGTTTCAGCTCGTCAGCAGGGCAGTGCGCAAATGACGGAATTCAGTCTGCGCCAACGCATGTAGCCGTCAGCACTAGTGTGACCAGATTGCCAGTTAAAAGCCGTCATAGTACCGCAGTCGCAATAACGTTAAGTAGTTTTCTTAATGTACAGGCACCCTCGTTGCTTTCACTCGGTCAGTTTCTGTGACTCCCTCCCTCTTCCCTTCCCCACGGTATTCCATCTCACATATTTTCGGGTTTGCATACATCCACGCAACGACCATTTCAGCCAAGTACATCTGCTAAGTGTTCACGAAAATACGAGATGTGAACACCAGCGAAGAATTGCCTATTAGCTCACGCAAATTACCTCGATAAACATTTACAACAGGCACGAGCGCGCACAAAGAGCTGCGGCACGAACATATGACGGCAGGAACAAAAGGGATTGCGAACACCTGCGATGCGAAAATTCGCTTTACGAGAATTTGTCTAGTCACTCGTTGTCTCGTTGCTCCTCGTCTTCACACAGTTCCTAACCTGGCGCCTGAATGCTTACGGAATGATTATCAGACTGAGCGGCGTGATATTGGTGACGACTAGCTTGGATGGGAGCCGGATCGACCACGCTGTTTCGATAGTGTAGTGGTTAAGCTACACGGCTGGCAAAACAACGGCATGAGGTTCGATTCCCTGCTTGCCCGTGTCCGCCCTTCCTGCCCGGGCGAGAAGCGGATGACGTCATGTCTCCCCGGCATCTGAGGGCGTCGTTACAACCCGATGACGGCGATGGCGGACCGAGTGCACATGGCACATGGCGTATGGCGCACATGGCGTAATATTCTGTAGCAAATATGCTCCTTAATACGTCGCCGCTTAATTACGTCGTCGTACTTTGCACTTCATTGATTGAGGGTCAATTGACGACCGTTTTATCTGGAAAGCGTGTTTACAATCGCCAGATATGAACGACTCGGCAAAAAATTTGTATCGGGCTTGATCACCGCATGGATATTGGTATGGCAAGATTTGAGTGACGTTATTTTGGCGTCATGGATGCCTAGGTGTTCCCGAAATAGTCCACACAACTTTGCGGACGTTTAGCTTGGAAACTAGAGGGGCTTCAGTCTTAAGAAGGGCAGGACTCTGAACTGCACCAAACGATCTTCAAGATGACCAGTTCAGTTCAAAACCCACAAAATGTGGAACACTTCCTCTAAATTAACGAAGATTGTGGCAGAGCTTCAGCGCACTCCCGCATCCCTAAAAGCATTTCTACGCCCTTGCATCCGGTACCGAACGGAGGACTGTGACCTTGCGCTTTGGTATCACGCCATGACGTTAGCGTCACCATCACGCCAGGTCGAGTTCAGGTCACACAATCCGGCATCGTTTGTTTGCCTTTCCGGTTCACGTGATGTATAAAGAAGACGTCGATCTAAAAATGTGCCAGCTATACTAACCCGTTCAACATAACCAGGAGTAGCCAACATTTTGGTTGGACACTTATAAAGCGATGCAGAAACTCAAACATACTGATGTTACCCACCTGACCCGGTTCGGAAGTGATATCCGGTGCTCAGAGTAGGAGAGGGGACGGGGATTCTTATTTCCTGGATGGACTTTACCCCCCCCCCCCCCCCCAGGCGTTTTCCATCACGGTCGAATTTTGATAATGGAAAAATGGAATCACAATCGCCGGCTCTGTTGTGCCATAGCGCAAAGGCACTGCAACGTCACCCAGCCTCAGCCGTCTGGCACCAGGACCGCGCCCAGGGATGCCGGCGAAGGTGCCTGCAAGGGCTAGTGCGACATCGTATGAGGCGTGAACATAACTGTTAGATTATAGCATGGTTTGGAGTCTCCAATAAGACGCTTCGGCAACGGACGTGACGGGCTCGGCCCAGGAAAAATTAGCTACGAGCACATATTGGCATGCTGAATTACTTCGTCATGAAACGCCGTAATAAAGTAAGATAAATAAGCACGTTACATGTGTTACAGCTGTCCGTCGTGGAGCATGGTCACGGCTGGTCCATGTCATCTGACCTTTATCCTTGACGACCCGGGCCGATTCCATCGCCATTTCTCCGACCAATCGCCATTTCATCCCGCACCGTTATTTTTTCAGAAATACTGAATCGCTTCTAACGTGGGGTGGCACAATCCAGGAACGGCAGCGGCATCCTGTCATCAGAACCAACCAGCTGCTGGCGAAACAGCTTTAAAAGCGTAGTGTCGTTGGGCACTGTGCAAGACGTAAAGTCTACAGGTTGTTTTGAAAGCATGGTGCTTTCTCAAAGACTGCACTAGTTATTTCACGTGGTCAGAAAATGGCACTAGGAAACTGCACAAGCAAGAGACGTCAGGTATCAGGAGACGTCTCAATCTACGTCTGGCAGGAGACGCTGGGAGTCACGCTTCAAACCGCAGCTGGGAGACCTCTTTGCGATGCAAACGGGGCTATGGACATTGGCATGGGCTACAGCCACGGGCAGAAGATCCTTCGAGAAATTGCAAACAAGATGCAGGATTCCAGAAGTTTTGAGGTCTAGATCTCACGGATCCGATGCGGTGATTTGTTTGGCACCCGTCTGAATTTAAGAGACCATCATTTATCATGCTGCTGCATGTGACTTAACAGCACCGCCAAACTCCTGTCACGTAAAACCGAACCACGACTTATGCGCGACTCCCAGCCCGCCTTTAGCTGCTGTTCGCCCGTGGACCGGGTACGGCGGCGTTCGCGGCGTCGCCGCCGCGTTCGTCGCGCTCGGCCTCGCCCCGCGAGGCTGCCTCTCAGCGCCGCCCGCGACTCGCCGGAGTCGACGCCGCGGAGGTCACCGCCGTCGGCGTCTGCCTGCGGGGGTTCGGGGTCACTACGGACGACTGCTCGTCAAGGCTTCCCATAGTCCAGGCAGCGAAGTGGAGTGGATTGGCTTTGATGTGAGACAACCCGGAGTCAACCTGGTACAGCGCTGCACCAAGTCGCCTCCCGGAATGTGATGACGCACGGAGGGGAGAGGCCACGAGGCGTCCCGCAGTCACGTGGGCCAGAATAGTCGCAGGGATAACACGTTGTAGCGTGCGGTGCTCCGGGTATATGTGTTTGTAGGTGGTCAGACTTACTGCACCAACATTAAACCCAGACAAATCAGGCGGTGATGAATTGAAGCCCTTAAATTGTTAATACCGGATGCATGTGGAAGCTTGTATCATTAACTTATCCGGCTTTGGGGCCTCGTTTTATCAGCTGCTGCGAAACATGGAGCTGAAGAAGTCGTGTCAAGTGTTTCCTCCTATAGGTTCGAACGACTTGTCACAGTGTCTTGCAGGGGCGCTGTCAGGTGGTGGGGTCCAGTAGGCCTGTCATGTCCTCTTGGTAAAACGTGGTAACACATATGAGACACATCCTAATCTGAACGGATGCCGGGACAAAAGGCGATTACAATGTTCTGGTGTATTGCATTACACCAATATCTTTTTATAAACAAGTCTCCTGTTTGCATACTTGTAATGTGTTAAGATAGAAGTCATCGTTCAAAGAAAGAGGTTGTGGCTATTTTATATGGATTGTCATACCTTTCAAAGGCTAAATCAAAACTGAGACGCGTTGAAGTTCTGAATCCCACTAATATCATTAAGGACCGTTTTCTAAAATGTATTACTGCAAAACAGGTGCAATGTAATGTATTACTACTTCTAAAGCAAAACCCATGCACTGTTTGCATTTGTAATCGGATATGCGAGACGTTGCACGTCCTGTGGCCTATTCATGACTGTCTGCTCGCTGATCTTGCGTGAAAATGTTTTTTTTTTAAATTGGCTACCGGGTAGCACTGAGCATGAAAAGCTCATTGGGGCCACTTAGAGAACGACTCATAGAGTTAATAATGAGGTCGCGGGCCAACGAGAGCATAAGGAAATATCTCCAGAAAACCAGAGCTCTCTCTCATCTTACGGATCTGAAGCACATCCAGGATACTGAAAACGTGAGCGTTGTAGTGGGACCAAGAACTTGATAGGCTAGCACGTTATTTCGGCAGAGTTCCTTGTCGCCTGTTATTGCTTGTGGAATGAAAATGAAAACACATCTATGGGCAACAAGCTACATGACTTCGTTCTCCGCTCGCGGGCGGGTCCTGCCGAGCAAACGGTTGCGAATATCTTCGCGTTTGCCCATTGATAAAGCAGAAAAATTTCCATGCAACATCACATGTTAGTACCCACACGACAACTCGGATCACATATTTGTGAGAAAACGCATTCATAAAAGTTGTGCAGTTATTAATAAAGCAGGGAACTACTTACAGATTTCTCACTGCACTTCGCTGATTGAATCACTACCAGTGCATACAAATACGTGGGCTTGATATAAAAAGTAAAGCATTCGGCTTTTGATTTTTCGGCGTTATCAGTTCAGAGTTCTAATGCTGAGGTATCAATCTTCAGTATATCAGGAAGCACTGGTGAAACGACGTTATAGTGTGAACATTGCTTGACGCTTGAAGCGAAACGTATAATCATGAGACATTACCTATGATGATTTTGACCTTCATCAACGCTTCGACTGCTGGGGTCATTTCGTGGTGCATGAGTGATCATCAGTTCAGCTTAAAACATCATCAAACAAACTTGAGACAAACCTTCAGCACTCTCAATGCAATCAGTCTGCACTATGGCGTCCCCTAACCGGTACCTCCTGGTACAATAAAGGTGGATAACTCAGCAAAAAACTCTGAACTCATAACGGCAAACTCGCGTTTACGACACGACGACAGCCGTTCACATTCAGTTGTAACTGACCGAACGAGGAGCCATCGGCCGTTTCTAGCTGGACGCCGCGTCTGCTGATCGATGACTGGCCACTTCCAAGCACTAGGTCCTGCGACGCCGGGGCCAACTGCGAGCCTGACGGCCGGCCTGGATCCCCGCTGGGAGTCGCCAGACCCCTGCGACAGGGCCGCCGCAGACATTCCGCGCACCGGGTCATAGCTAATGCAGAAGTTCGCAGCGGCCCAGCGCCACTTCGAAAGCAGGAAGTGTCCATCAGAGCTGGTCACGACGCACGGCCGGCTCTCTCTCTCTCCCTCCGTCTCTCTCTCTCTCTCTCTCTCTCTCTCTCTCTCTCTCTCTCTCCTCTCTCTCTCTCTCTCTCTCTCTCTCTCTCTCTCTCTCTCTCTCTCTCTCTCTCTTCTCTCTCTCTCTCTCTCTCTCTCTCTCTCTCTCTCTCTCTCTCTCTCTCTCTCTCTCTCTCTCTCTCTTCTCTCTCTCTCTCTCTCTATCTCTCTCTCTCTCTCCTCTCTCTCTCTCTCTCTCTCTCTCTCCTCTCTCTCTCTCTCTCTCTCTCTCTCTCTCTCTCTCTCTCTCTCTCTCTCTCTCTCTCTCTTCTCTCTCTTCTCTCTTTCTCTCTTCCTCTCTCCCTCACTGCCTCTTATTTGAATAAAGGCAAGCCAGCAAGCACATATATCGCACGAGCCCACTGTATATGAACTATACAGTCCACGAAGTTCCAGAATAAATGCTGGATGCCCCAGTTGTCTTCCTCCATTTGCGGTGCTGGTGCTCCCGGTGTCACGGTTTGCTGTTTATTCACGATATTAATAAAATACATACACTTTGTTGATATCGTATAGGGCATATGTTACACACTTACATCACAAACACACACAAAGTAGAAGATAATGATACAGTTGCGCTATTGACCATTCATTGCTTACTTTGTGCACCGACGAAAAATGACAAAGTTGAATTGTCTCGCATGGGTCTAGGATTCAATGCATGCGCGGCATGAAACCGTGCAGGGCAAGGTATAAAACTGTTAAACATCTTTTCGCACTCACCACGAAACCAGGATATATATATATATATATATATATATATACGTATATATATGTGCATATACATATATATATAATATCTAAAATATACACACAAAAATAAGAACAATATAAAAACTGTAGAGCGCTTGGGCCGATAGTTATATAGTGATCTTGGCCGATGATTCATGATTGGTGGTAACGGTTCACCGACGACTAGTGCAATTTGGAGACGAATTACCTTTAATTGGCATCACGTGGGCTGCGGTTGCGGTGTGACAGGGATCCGCATCAGTGACCGAGAAGACCGACAGCCAATGGCCAGTGAAGGTACCAGTCTCTTACAGCGAATATCTGTGGTTCATGATCTGAGGATCGTACACGACCTCAGCTTCGTAATCTGAACGCTACTTCGACGTGCGTTTTGTTGACCTTCACTTTCAGGCATGTGCTACGAATTTCAGAAAACAATTCGTGCCTTCCTGACAGCCGCAGGACATTCAGAGTACGTTTAGCATTCACAGACGCGACGAAATTTCCGTAGCCGAGATGATGCTCGAGGATTTGGGCTCATCAGCGCTAGGTTCGATTTCCACGGATAGTGAGCGATTTTGAGCTTGAGACCATTTCCGAAAACAGCCAGCAGCTTTTGACTGGAGAGGGTCAGCCTACCAGCTTACGACAGCGGGCAGCAGCACTGAAGTCATGCAAGACACGAAACATGCACGGTCGCGACCCCGTTCAACTCAAGTGTCAGAACAAAATACGGGAACATCACAGGAGTGTCGCTTTTAGCCTCAAAGTGAAACGTCTAACCGGTAGGCAAATAGGTCAGAGAAGTTCGGGATGTCAATGGAACAAAGTCAAGAAACACACACACACACACACACACACACACATATATATATAATATATATATATATATATATATATATATATATATATATATATATATATATGCATGTGTGTATATATGTTAACATATATACTATATGTCTGTGTGCCATAATGGGACTTATCACTTAGCAGGTCGTCACGTTAGTTGCTTTGGTTTAATATTGCGATGACTGCTCTTGTTTCATTGGCCAAGGGTGAACCATATATACACGATTTGTTCAAAAGCACTAACGGAACATAGCAAGCGGTGTCTGCCAGATGCTACCTGAACCAAATACAAACACCAAAGCAGTGTGGACAAGTGTTTGGCGGTTCAGTCACACTGCCAGCTGCGACGGCAACACAGAGCCTATGGTATCAGAATGAGATATCCGGCTTGAGATGACACCGAAGTCGGGCACAGACAATCAAACATTCACCCGCTGTCACCAGTATTGTCTCCATTCACCAGCCGCTTGTTGCGCATATGCCACTTGCAGTGCTATAGCATGTCATGTATGCACGATTTGAGATTCTTACGTCACGCACGAGCATGCCAATCGTGTGAACACGAATCCGCGTTCTCTGGACTTTTTCCTCAAGCGCTTCAGTTTAAAATCCATTTAATCATCGCGCAGTGCCAGAATCACAAGCACTTCCCAAACCGACGCCTTTCAATAAACTGACAGCTGTTCGAGACGCAACCGACTAAAATTGCGTGGCCAGCTGGAGATCGGACGCTGACACCACTGCCCAATGGCTGGATGAGTGCGCTGACCCCGGCCGGCTGCTTCCCACGGACAGGATCACGTCCTGAAAAAAGAAACAGGAGCCATGAACGTGCCAATCGGTCCGACGGTGGCAGGGTGGCGCCTCCATTAGAACCAGCTACGGGAAAGGGCACTAAAACACTGCCGCGGTTTGTTCTCGCCAGGCAGGATCTTCGCTTGCATGATGTCTTACTGGCTTTCTTCCGTCCGTCTGAGGTAAAATTGATGTCAATTTTAAGTAAAATTCCGGCCCCTGTTACTTGAATACCCCGCCATGACGTCAGTTTCCGGCGCTGAACCGAAACATTGGCAGTTTCACGCAGGATTTAAGTTTGTAACGCTGCATTCGCAGCGTTAAGGATGATTGTAATGCTTAGGACGACAGGAGCTA